TTACAGGAGATGAGTTTGAAGATGAACTGATAGCACCATTGGCATTCTGCATGTCACAAGACACTTTAACAGGCAGAGTTGGAGCTTCAGATGCATTGGGTTGTGACCTCATAGAAGGCATCTCATCAGAAACAGCAGAACTATCGGCAGGATCGATTACTGGTCTCGTCCTTAAATGATTGGCTGGGGCAGAACTGTGGCTAGGTAATGGGTCAACCTGGTGAATAAAGATTGTCATAACTGTGAAGTTCTCAAAGTTTGAAAACTAATATATACGGGGAAAAAATTTAAGCACCAAACTGTAGTTACCTTGCTCAACCGAGCATCACGGATGTTGCTTTCGATACCCCTTGACAGTTTCTCCATTTGTCGAATAAATAGCTCAGTTGTGTCCCCTGGGTACCTACCTCGTGCTACCCTCACCAACTTGTCCCTCGACTAAACAAATAAAGATATCAGTATGAAGTCCTAGCAAGTACAAAGAATTTACCAGATTTTACCACAAAAAAGGACTTCAACTGAAGTAATGCAGTGAAAAAGCACACATTTGCCACATCATGCCTAAGTTAAATACTGAAACATGAAACTGAAACTTATGACAGAGGTCCTGAATGCTGAACTTGACCTCTGCCTATAAAGCTTATGACACCAAAATGCCAAAATAAATGTAACATTTTTCCTATTAGGACTAACAGAGAATACATTATGAAAGATAAAACTGATAATTAACACAGGTATGCTACATACATACAGGCTAGCAACAAAAGGAAACAAATAGGAAAATTAAGATGGTTTTTTTTAAAATCTATATATACCTCAAATGTATTGTATTTGACTCTTCATATTTGCCAATTCAGCCCTAAAACATTTCAAATCCATTAGTTTACCTCACAACCTAACTTTCTTTTAGATGTCTGACAGATTCAAGATTAAAACAAATAAATGTAAAGCCAAAAAAAAAAGAGGAGAGTACAGGGAGAGATGGGAGGCACACACGATGAGCACCAGCAATAAAGAGGGGATGATCTTGAGAGAGGAGGATAGGATTGTGAGATCAGACAAATCAATAGCACAAATCTGATTCAATACGATTTTCATTCCATCTTCAAAACATCCTGATGTATATCATCAAGTCTCAACCTAAGCCTTCCCCACAAAATCCTTCTTTGATTATGAACCTCAGCTCCTCCAGGGAACTCATGGATGACTGTTTTCAGTGTCTTACTCTTTGTTATCTCCATAACTGAAAATTTGCTCAACAATTTACCAACTCTACCAGAAAGGGAAAAAGAATTTCCTAAATAAAAGAAGAAATTACAACCCAATCTGTCAGCACTGAGAAGGGAATTGACACAATTAAGGAAAAAGAAGCCTAGACCCTTTCAAAAGTTAGAAACATTTTGTTGTTGCTATAAATAAGCACTGTAAACCAGCGGGTACAATTCCTTCAAGATTCCAGCAGTTTCATAGAGGGAAAGGAATAGAAGAGGCAAGAGAGCAGTACAATTCCTCTAAAAATAGTAAAGAAGCAGTAAAGTCATCCATGAGGCCAGGTTTAATTCATGGAGACGAAGTGAAACAATGAGAATTTAAGATTAGGGTTCAATAAATTCTGACGTGAATAGATGAAATAAATAAGTGGTTAAAAAACAAGAAAACTCCAACCCAGACGCACTGCAATTCCTTGCTTTGTTTGAGGTAAGTGGGAATTGAATGGATATACCAATTCTATGATTAGAACAGCAGGGACTTCCTTTGGATCCTCATCCACGAGATCTGTGTAGACACCTGCAGCTTCAGCCTCATCCACTGGCAATCGGTCCCCCTATTTAAGATCCTGGCAGACTGCCACCCGGTCCGCAAGAGA